AATAACCAATAAGGCGAGCAGAGCATCATTAGTCACAGGAGAGAAATGGACAGTTAAAACAATACAATAATGAGACTATTACCACACCTACTAGAGTGGTAAAATCCCCAGACTGAGAATGCCAAGCATGCTGTAATTGATTTGGAACAAATTGGGAACTCTTATTGATCGGGAACATAAAGTGTTACAAATCTCTTTTGCAAAACCCTTAGTTACTTAAAAAGTTGAACATATGCCTACCATATAACCGGAGGCAGTTTCCATTTCTAGTTATCGCACGGAGAAATGAAGAACCTTTTCTTCTGTTACACACCAGCCCATGTACTGAATGTTCATAGTTTTTATTCTTTTTTTTTTTTTTTTTTTTTTTTTTTTTTGAGGACGGAGTCTCGCTCAGTCGCCCAGGCTGGAGTGCAATGCGCCGATCTGCGACTCACTGCAAGCTCCGCCTCCCGGGCTCTCACGCTATTTTTCCCGCTAGCCTCCCAAGTAACTGGACTACATGGCGCCTTTACCCACTACGGCGGCTAATTTTTTGCATTTTAGTAAGAGACGGGGTTTCACCCGTGTTAGCAGGACGGTCCTCGTCGTGCCTGAGCTCGTGATCCGCGCGTTGGCCTCTCCAAAGTGCTGGATCTACAGGCGGTGAGACACCGGCGCCCGCCTCATAAGTTTTATTCGTTAATGGAAAAAATGGAGTACCACCCCAATATCCATCGAGTTATATGGCTAAACACAAACTGTGGATAGCCACTGGCGATAAAAAGAACTACAGGCCCTGGGTGCAGTGGCTCACGCCCTGTCGAAATCCCCGCAGCACTTTGGGAGGCGAGGTGGGTGGATCACCTGAAGTCAGGAGTTCGAGACCAACCTGGCCAACATGGTGAAACCTCGTCTCCACTAAAAATACCAAAATTAGCCGGGCGTGGTGGCGGGCGCCAGTAATCCCAGCTATTCCGGAGCAAACTATAGTGGGAGAAAGCTGATCAGTAGTTGTCTGAAGTAAGGGTGTGGAGAAAGAGAAGGACTAAAAGGGGTCTGAGGAGACTTGGAGAGGTGATGGCAATGTTCTCTATGTTGATTAGTTTGGTGGTTTGTCAAGATTTATCCAATTGTATGCTTTAAATCGGTGCAGTTTACTATATGTGAACTATAGCTCAATAATTGTAGACAAAACAGAAAAATTGGTATTGTTTCAAGCTTGCGTCTCTTCTCATCCTTCTCATCAGCCTTACTCATGATACCTATTTTATTTGTTAATAACTCTCAAATCGGCCGGGCGCAGTGGCTCAAGCCTGTAATCTCAGCACTTTGGGAGGCCGAGGCGGGCGGATCACGAGGTCAGGAGATCGAGACCATCCTGGCTAACACGGTGAAACCCCGTCTCTACTAAACATCCAAAAAAAAAATACTAGCCGGGCGAGGTGGCGGGCACCTGTAGTCCCAGCTACTCGGGAGGCTGAGGCAGGAGATTGGCGTAAACCCGGGAGGCAGAGCTTGCAGTGAGCCGAGATCATGCCACTGCACTCCAGCCTGGGCGAGAGAGCGAGACTCTGTCTCAAAAAATAAATAAATAAATAAATAAATAACTCTCAAATCTACTCCAGATTCTCTGAAAGCAAATTCATGTTACTGCCAACCTGCTATGCATCCTCGGCTGCATATTCCACAAGCTCCTGAAGCTAAAAAAAAATGTTCAGAATTGAATTTATCAGTGCCACTCCCACAGGAAACAAACCTTCCCTTTCTCTTCCCTAATTCAGAGAGTGACTGAGAAATTTCCCAAACCAGAACCTTGGAATCATCTCACCTGACATCCTCTCTGTCACCTGTGTCTAAATACCATCTCTGTTTAGGCCTCATTTCTCACCTGGATTAGTCTCCTCTCATCCTTCCCCCTCTGGAGTGTGTTTCAAATCTTAAATTATCATTTCACCCTCTGCCTAAGATAAGTCAGAGGCTTGCCTTACCTTCAAGATGGAGTTCAATACCCACAAAAATTAACAATTAATAAAAGGATGGAGTTCAGAGTCCTCACTGGGCATACTGGGCTCAGTGACCCCTTCTCACGATGGGTGTTTTCCACACAGCACTATCACCCCACCACCCCCCACATTCTGTGGAAAAAGTCACTGGTACCCCAAGGTGGGACCTGCATGGCCATGTCATACCATGCTGTGCCCTCAGTTCCTTAACTCACTGACACTTGAGAGCACCCCAGAGTTAGCTGGGTCTATCATACACTCTTTTTTCTGTTAATTTGAAACAGAAAAGCTGAAGAAGGATGTTTTGGCCTTAATCTGTACAGACAGCTTTATGTATTCTTCTATATGATGTGTTAAAAATTACATCCAAAACTAAAAATATTCTTGGAAAAAGCGCAGAAAATAAAAGCTCTCGGAATTTAAAATGTAAATGTTCAACTTTTTTTTTTTTTTGAAATGGAGTCTCCCTCTGTCGCCCAGTCTGGAGTACAGTGGTGTGCTCACTGCAACCTCCACCTCCCAGGTCCAAGCGATTCTCCTGCCTCAGCCTCCCAAGTAGCTGGGATTACAGGCGCCCATCACCACTCATGGCTAATTTTTCTGTATTTTCAGTAGAAACGGGGTTTCAGCATGTTAGCCAGGCTGGTTTTGAACTCCTGACCTCAAGTGATCCGCCCGCCTTGGCCTCCCAAAGTGCTAGGATTACAGGCGTGAGCCACCATGCCTGGCCAATGTTCAACATTTTAAGATAGGAAACTCTGCTGGAATTCTGCTAGAATGTAGGGCAGAGACAAAAAGAAATACAATAACTTGTATTCAAATACAAATTCAAAAGATAGAATATCGGAATAAATCCAGCTGGTCCAACATCCAATTAATAGGAGCTTCCAGCTTCATTTTCTACATAGCACTCATTACCTTCTAATGTATCATTTACTTCATTTTTTTGTTTGTTTTGGTTTTTTTGAGACGTGAAGGGGTGGCCTGCCCCTCCACACCTGTGGGCGTTTCTCGTTAGGTGGAACGAGAGACTTGAGAAAAGAAATGAGACACAGAGACAAAGTATAGAGAAAGAAAAAGTGGGCCCAGGGGACCAGCACTCAGCATACAGAGGACCCAGGCCAGCACTGGTCTCTGAGTTCCCTCAGTATTTATTGATCATTATCTTTACCATCTTAGAAAAACGGAAGTGGCAGGATAATAGGATCATCATATGGAGAAGGTCAGCAGTAAGACATATGAATAAAGATCTCTTATTTTCC